CCCCCTCCCCTTCCTTCGACTATCAATTTCATTCAAATTTTGTTATTGATTTGAAATTTTGTAATGTTATATACGCTTTTGTATTGTATAAAGTGCAAAGTGCAGTATTTGGCAATGCTTGCAATTTTTTATTTGTTTCTTATGCAAAATATAATAGTGCAGTAATTTGTTTTGTATTTAAAGATTAACTTAAAAATATTTCCCGACTTTAATGGGACTGTTGGCGCAATTTCAAGAGACTCTTAATTTATAGATGAGCATGTTCCAATCACAACTCTACCTTTAAAAGTTTAACATGATCAAGACTGAATGTGACATTAATCCTCTAATTGACTTGGGAGCTTCCCCTATAGAATCAAAGGAGGAATTTAACAGAATTAAACATTTATCAAGCCAGAAAAACCACAATATTTCTAATTCATTATAGACTTACTCATTTTCAAATGGATTTGCAGTAAAATTAACAAATATTTAAATTTAGTGGATCACTGAATCATCATGCGGAAGATCATAAACTGCACAAGGATGATCATGCGGGACATGATCATGACAATCATACAGACCACGATCATGTCCATGCACATCATGATCACGTTGATCAAGATGGAGACGGGGCTCCTAACCATAATCGATTGTACGATAAGAAGATATGGGCAGCTGCTGTAGGATCCATATTTCTTATAGGTGAGACAAATTCTAGGGTTTATACAGGGGTTACCAGTAGAGGATTAGACTTCAGAGACGACGTTACGGAAATTCTGTTTGTTTGTCAGATCAGAACTCTTGAACCCCTTGACTGATATGCCTCAAATTGTTTTTGATGAACTCGGTTGAACCACGGAAATGCTAAGTTGAATTATTAAGACTTTAATAGGCATCATTTGTAATACTAAAATTTTGTAGTTTAGCGTGAAAATAATATTCTCTGGCAGGTTTTTTCTTTTGATACTTTGAAATTCAATTCATTTTTTTCAATTTAGCGATAAATAAACCTCACCCACGACTTATTTTAAATTTTTTCTGAAGTCAAAAAGCTAAGCTTGTTGTCCTCTTTTTGATTTTGCGGATTTTTACTTTTCAAATGACGGATTTCCAAAAAAATTAGTAACATTTAACGTTTTTAATTCTGTGTAAACATTCCATGTTGTCATTTGATATCATACACAACATTTTTAGTCTTGCATTTTCGTGGTTAAGTGGATTATTAATGTCTTTTATTTGAGAATGACAACCAACTATGCAAGAAGGGGAATATAAATTTATTTACGCAACAAGTTCTAATTATTGTCGGAACTAGTCTGTTTCTGATTTAAAATTTTAGCCAGAAAAGAAACCATTGAATTCTTTTTTTTTTTTAACTTTTTTTCCCCCCTAAATAAAAATGGTTAAATAATTGTCATATTTATTATTGATGCTCCAAAGGTTTTGGGATTTTAAAACTTCTTGTCTTATTTTTCAAACTAAAGATTTTTAACCAAATTACTAAACAATATTTTGAATTTAGGGGCCTGCGGTATTTTTGGTGTAGTGGTCATACCTATTATGAACAGGTTAGAAAGATAAAAGTTGTTATTTTGATATTTGAAATCTAGATTATTTGATCTTAAACAATTCATAGTTCATAGCTAAGCCTCTAATTTGTTTTAGATAAAATCATCTAAAATTGTGATGAATAAAAAATGTTCTCTTTCAAATAATTTCCAATCGTACATGGTCATCCACAAAAAACGAGAGTTCAGATTATACGCATTCTCATTTCTTGTACTGATGCCCTTTTAAAACTACTTTATTTCTTTGAAAACATCATTTATGATAAGATTAAATGTTAGTTTAGGACTTTATTATTTAAAGAAACTATACTAAAACCGTAAATTTTAGATGGCAATGCCCGATTTACAACGTTATACCTGAAAGCTTTTTCTGATCAAATATGAATGTTTTTTATTTGTTTAAACTGCTAATTTTTATTTGTGTTTTCTCTGAAAAATGGTTTGCAGACTTCTTGCTTATAAGAAACAATGGATAAATTCACAGAAATAAACACATCTTGAGTCAATCTTTAACATTTTTGATCAGCTGAAGGGTTCCGTTGGAAATCTGGGATTGTTATCTTGGCATGGATATCTCCTAGTAAAGGGACTATTTCATTTTACTTCTTTAATTTTAATCTTTTTTCCTGATCTGATTTTTTAACAATTTATTTACCCTGTAAAAGTTGAAAATATTTTCCTTCAAACCATAATCTATGAGGATGAAGAACGTTACTAATTGGTTTCTAAAAACGAAGATATCGTCAGTTCGATTTAAAAAAAGATATCAAGGGTACTAGAGTGAATCAGCTGTGTCGGCGTCATGTCAGGTGCCCCTTCATTTTCAATGATGGATTTTTTTAATCTGAAAATATTTATTTTGCAACCAAAGAAAGAAGATGGGTACAATTTAAATCTTGGGAAAACAACAATCTTTCGTTCTCAATATGACGTAGATTGAAGGATTAAAGGGTACATGTATCATTTTGAAGGCATGGTCACTTGAAATTAAATAAACAGTCCCTTTAAATGAACTAAAACCATTGTAGACGCATCTACCAGCATGCAGTCCAGTTCCTGATAGCCCTTGCTGTGGGAACACTCACAGGAGATGCTCTTCTTCATCTTCTCCCGCATGCAATTATGGGCGGGGACTCAAAGTATGGCCACCATGGACACGGAACTGATCTACAGAATGATCTGCACAAACGAGCTGTTTGGATAGGTAGGCATAAGTTTTTAACATATTTATTTTTAGGTTTAAATTTTAATAAATTTCTGAAATGATAAGATGATACCACCTGAAAATATTTTGTCATTTCTATTTTACTTGATCTGAATTTTCTTCTTATTCGTGCATCTTCCATCATGTTCGGCTAATTTCGAAAAAAGAAAATAAATTCTTTATGTGTGACATCCTTGTATGAAAATCCAGGGATGAGGGGGGGGGAACTCACAACAGATGAGACTTTAAAATGTCAACTTTAAAAATCTTAAAATTTTAAGATCCAAAGTTTAATTTGATTTGCTGTCTTGAATTATATAACAATTTGAATTTATTCCCATTCATTTTTAAATGCGAAGAAAAATGTCAGTTCAGCTTTATCAAAAAACAAATCCACGTAAAAGACTGAATAAATAAATGCGTAACTTTCGACTTTTTGAAGTGTCATCTTTTCTGGTACCACTGTTAGATTGATTGCATCCTATGTTCATGCAATAAGCACATTGTTTATAAAGGGGGTGGAGTATTTTTTCTTATCAATTGTAGATACCACTGATAGATTGATAGCATCCTATGTTCATGCAATAAGCACATTGTTTGTAAAGGGGGGGGGGAGTATTTTTTCTTGTCATTTGTAGGTACCACTGTACCACTGTTAGCATGATTGCATCCTATTTTCATGCAATAAGCACATTGTTTATAAAGGAGGGGGAAGTGTTTTTTCTTATGATTTGTAGGTACCACTGTTAGTATGATTGCATCCTATGATCATGCAAAGCAAATTGTTTATAAAGGGGTGGCATGGAATGTCCGGTTCACGCTACCCTTATGAGCTTTGTTAAATATCATGAATCCTCTAATCAATTTTCTCTTTAATAAAAGCTATTTTCAATTGTGTTTTTCTTTAGTGAGTGACTTTGCTTTAGAAGCAATATGGAGAATATCGTTTAAACACTTCAGATAAAGATAAAGGGTTAAATAGTACCATTAAGATTCAAGCATGCTCTTTTTTTTCTTTTAAATGGAGTCACTTGACATCACAGCGACGCTAAATAATCCGCAGTTCTTAGTTTATTTTGATATTTTTGAAAGAAGTTTAATCTAAAATTCCGACTATTTGCTTTCAAGGACAATAAGAACTTAATAAATGTTTTTAAAGGGATTGTACACTGTTTTCAAAGTTCTTTTTTTGGAGACCATACAAAACATATCACCACGAAACATATCACCACAAAACTTATCACCACAAAACTTATCAAAACAAAACTTATCTAACAACAAAACTTATAAAAACAAAACTTATCATCACAAAACTTATCAAACTACAAAACTTATCAAACTACAAAACTTATCAACCAACAAAACTTATCAAACTACAAAACTTATCAACCAACAAAACTTATCAACCAACAAAACTTATCAAACTACAAAACTTATCAAACTACAAAACTTATCAAACTACAAAACTTATCAAACTACAAAACTTATCAAAACGAAACTTATCAACTGCAAAACTTATCAAACTACAAAACATATCAAACTTAAAACTTATCAATAAAATTCATGAATCTAAATTTTCAAATAATGGAAATTTTTTGTATGGGCTCCCTTTTTTCCCCCATTTTTGGGATTAGAAACGCAATTAAAAAATTTCGCCAATTTAAGATAAAAAACTTTTAAAAATTCTATCGCGTTTTTGCTTAATGCAGCTTTAAGACTCAAAGGGATAGTTATAGTAATTATTAGCGACAATGTATTCTAACAAGGGCTTACAAGGGTTTTCTGGAAATCTTAATCTAATCAATAATGTAAAAGAAAGTGATTTTTCTTACTAGGAAAAGTGTTCAATTCTTATAATTTCTCCATTAATACTGAAGTAGAGAACCCACAAATGAAATTAACCAGTTTTCAAAAACACTAACTTGGATATCAGATTCTAATCTTACATCATAAAAAGCGTTCAAGGGTGACACGCCACTCAATCAAAGGGGAGGACCTTGAAATTACGTTTACAGTCCCTTTAAAACGTTGTTATATTAAATCGGAGAACATTCCCTTTACCTTGATTTATTTAGGTTTTGTTGCGGCTGTGGCAATCATTGGATTCTTCCTATTTGAGAAAATTGTAAATATTCTAGGAAATCCTTTAATAATCAAATTTAGTGGATTTTTACATTTCGATTTAGAGGATTTTTGCGTTTTTTGAGTTTATATAAGCATCAAAACTTTACTGGGAACTTAAGAATGGGATACCTTTGATCCCGACTGCTTAATCCAAATATCCAATAAGGACACTTTTAATTTCTTGCTTAATCCACTCTTTTTTTGAATATAGTACTGAAAAATCAAAGACCGTTTCTGTATATTATTCTTAAATGGCACGCAAAGTTTCAAATTTCCTAGTTTCTGATACGGGACTCTGATTGGTTGAATTTTATACACTTTTCAGGATACAAGTACAAGCTAAGGTTAGTCTCGAGATTAAGAAAAAGAGAGGATCAAGCATTGATCTCGATATCCACCATTCTAAAGTTCCCAGCTCGAAACACATGCCGGTGCTTTCTTTATTAGTTCTTTTCTTTAGTTGGAGTTCTTAGAATACGATTAAATTTTTTTTTCTAGACTACGCCGTTTTGTCTTGCTGATACATAAATTGTTAGTTTTGTAATCTTTAGCTTTTTTCATTAACATTTAATATTAATTTGTTTTTGTGCGATGTATTCACAAGTTTTACAGACATAGGTTACACAATTTGTTATTAGATAATTTAATGTTGTGTCCAGTGAGGACTCTTTATATACTTTTTCAATTTAAAATTTAATTCAGATATACAGGAAGTTTTTTCGTCATGTTTGAATGTAGTTTATTTCGCTGAATTTTCACTTTTGGGTTCAATGTTTTTTAATTAGGAATCAATACTTGGAATACGATAGCTAAAAACTAGGCTAGGGTTGGGGAGATGTGAACGAGATTAAAGTGTACTAGGGGGTGTTCATTTTCTTGAAAATTACCCCCCCCACTTCCCTCTATTGAAATTATTTTTTTTTCCCAGAGTCTAAGTTTTCATTAGTTTCAAAAGTCTTCAAAATAAAATTTCCATGTGGGAACTAAGGAACTAAAGGTTAAAGGATTGTAAACATGGGAACTAAGGAACTAAAAGTTAAAGGATTGTATACAGGGGAATTAGGAACTAAAGGTTAAAGGAATGTATACATGGGAACTAAGGAACTAAAGGTTAAAGGATTGTAAACATGGGAACTAAGGAACTAAAAGTTAAAGGATTGTATACAGGGGAACTAAGGAACTAAATGTTAAAGGATTGTAAACATGGGAACTAAGGAACTAAAGATTAACGGATTGTATGCATGGGAACTAAGGAACTAAAGGTTAAAGGATTGTATACATTGGAACTAAGGAACTAAAGGTAAAAGGATTTTATACAGGGGAACTCAGGGACTAAATGTTAAAGAATTGTAAACATGGGAACTAAGGAACTAAACATTAAAGGATTGAATACAGGGGAACTTAAGACCTAAAGGTTAAAGGATTGTATACAAGGGAACTAGGAACTGAAGGTTAAAGAATTGTAAACATGGGAACTAAGGAACTAAAGATTAAAGGATTGAATACAGGGGAACTTTAGACCTAAAGGTTAAAGGATTGTATACTAGGAACTAAGGGTAAAAGGATTACAGGGGAACTAATGAGCTAAGGGTTAAAGGATTGTATACAAGGGGATCTAAGAAATAAAGTTTAAAGGATTGTATATAAGGGGAACTAAGGAACTAAAGTTTAAAGGATTATGTATAGGAGAACTAGGAACTAAAGTTTAAAGGATTATGTATAGGGAAACTAAGGAACTAAATTTTAAAGGATTATGTATAGGGGAACTAAGGAACTAAAGGTTAAAGGATTATGTATAGGGGAACTAAGGAACTAAAGGTTAAAGGAATGTGTATAGGAGAACTAGGAACTAAAGGTTAAAGGATTATGTATAGGGGAACTAAGGATTTAAAGTTTAAAGGGTTATATATAGGGGAACTAAGGAACTAAAGTTTAAAGGATTATGTATAGGGGAACTAAGGAACAACAGTGTTCCAGATAAAAATCTACGAGTTGTACGTGAAGGTCATGTTGCCAGTGATAAGGTAAGGAATTCGTTCTTGAACCCATCAGACAATCTGTTTTTGCCCACAAGTTGTATTTGTGTGCGTGGAGCGTCAAATGTTTTAAAGGTTTCTTTCCCTGAATTTGGAAAAATAATGATTTTTTGGAGAAAAAGGATGAAAAAGAAAGAAAAAACGTTATATTCAGTTTTTCATTTTCTCTCTCAATTGTCAAAAATCATTGAATAAAAAATATATTTATACTACTTGTAGTTTCCGTTGCATAACCTTTTATTTTACTTCTATGATCATGCAGGATTCTTTACAGCTTCAGGAAGCACACTTTTAACTTTTATTTTTTATTCATTCATTTTTTCAAGTCTACAAGAAAGTTTTTTTTAATTATTTTGGATTCATTTTTTTTTATCGAGGCAAAGATTTTTTGCCCCTTTCTTTATTAATATTTTAAGCTTTTTGTTGCTGCTCTATCCGCATCTTCTTCTTTTTTATTTAAAAGTAGTAAAAAATACTCAAATTCGTAGATATATATCTATATATATATGAAATACATGTTATTTATTTTGAGGCCCATTTTTCTAAATTCTGACCGAAAGGCCGCTTTGACGTTAATTGAACACAAACAAACCAACAAGCAAAGAAAGAAACTAATTATCAGATAATTATATATACAAGCTTTACACTTTCATCTAATACTTGACATTTGTATTCAGGCAGTCGGGGAAAATATATGCAAACATAAATACAGTGCATACTGTGTTCAGGACTTCGATATTCAGGTAACCCCCCCCCCCCCCCNGGGGGGGGGGTCCGGAAGAAATACGTGAGGATGGAGCCCAAATCTCACTTATCTGATCGGTTCACTTAGTTCGAAATTTGTTTTTGCAAACAACCCAATAGAAAGCACGACATATTTGTAAATATTAAATGTGTGTGGGACTGCGACCTTATTTAGGTCTGGGTGTTTCACTAAATGCCCTTTTAGATTTTACCTATTGATGCTATTGTTTGCAAACACAAACTGTGCAAAACAAGTAAACAGGGGTAAATATTAATGCGATAAATAAACAGTTTAAAGGGACCCTGTATGTAAAGATGGCAATGTCCGATTCACAACAGTACCTTTAAAAGATTTGTTTAATCAATTACGAATTAGATACACGTTTATAATTTGGAAAACTGGTAATTTTCACTTCGAAGTTCTCTACAAAATTGACTTAATAATACCCATTACAATACCATAAATAGATAATATATAAGTTTTTCTTATATCGAGTATCGTGAAAATACAAATTATTTATTGTTCTTAGATAGCCAATTTCGACTGAAATTAAACTACTTGATTTTAGACTACTTGCTTTGTCAGCAGTTGTATTATATTCTAAATTAAAAGTTAATCCGGGGAAATCATATTTAAAGACATGGGGGAAAAAAATGAAAAATTGGACACCAGAATGTTAAAAATAAACTTTTTAAAAACCTTCCAAACTTCTGGAGGAAAAAATTATTTTTTAAGGAAGGGGTGGGGAAAAAATTATTTTTCAAGAAAAGATTCGCCCCTGTTTTTTTCAGGAATTAATTACCCCTGTTTTTATATTCCCCTGTACTACTACTACCTACCGCCCATATCGTGCTTTATTGGTCTAATTTTAGAACGAGAGAACGGACAGCTTGACGAATGGAACACCTAAAAATAATAAATCTGGTAAAATATTGTATTTAACATGAAATATCCTGTATCAGAACCCAAGGGTTTAAAAAGGTCTACTTAATGTCTATGCTACTAGTTCTATGCTACTCTTGCTAGTGTCTAGTTCTATGCTACTCTCTAGTGTCTAGTTTTATGCTATCCTGTCTATTGTCTAGTCTATGCTACTCTGTCTAGTGTCTAGTTTTATGCTAGCCCGGCTAGTGTCTAGTTCTATGCTATCTTGTCTAGTGTCTAGTCTCTGCTACTCTGTTTAGTGTCTAGTTCTATGCTACTCTGTCTAGTGTCTATTTCTATGCTACTCTGTCTATTGTCTAGGCTATGCTACTCTGTCTAGTGTCTAGTTATATGCGCTATCCTGTCTAGTGTCTAGTCTATGCTACTCTTTCAAGTGTCTAGTTTTATGCTACTATGTCTTGTGTCTAGTTCTATGCTATCCTGTCTAGTGTCTATTTCTATGCTACTCTGTCTATTGTCTAGTCTATGCTACTTTGTCTAGTGTCTAGTTTTATGCTATCCTGTCTAGTGTCTAGTTCTATGCTACTCTGTCTAGTGTCTAGTTCTATGCTACTCTGTCTAGTGTCTAGTTCTATGCTATCCTGTCTAGTGTCTATTTCTATGCTACTCTGTCTATTGTCCAGTTTGTGCTACTTTGTCTAGGGTCTAGTTTTATGCTACCCTGTCTAGTGTCTAGTTCTATGCTACTCTGTCTAGTGTCTAGTCTATGCTACTCTGTCTATTTTCTAGTTCTATGCTATCCTGTCTAGTGTCTAGTCTATGCTACTCTGTCTAGTTTCTATTTCTATGCTATCCTGTCTATTGTCTAGTCTATGCTACTCTGTCTAGTGTCTAGTTCTATGCTATCCTTCTAGTGTCTAGTCTATGCTATCCTGTCTACTGTCTAGTTCTATGGTTCTCTGTCTAGTGTCTAGTCCATGCTATCTTGTCTAGTTCTATGCTATCCTGTCTTTTGTCTAGTCTATGCTACTCTGTATAGTGTCTAGTTCTATGCTACTCTGTCTAGTGTCTATTTCTATGGTTCTCTGTCTAGTGTCGAGTTCTATGCTACTCTGTCTAGTGTCTAGTTCTATGCTATCCTGTCTAGTGTCTAGTCTATGCTACTCTGTTTAGTGTCTAGTTCTATGCTACTCTGTCTAGTGTCTATTTCTATGCTACTCTGTCTATTGTCTAGTCTATGCTACTTTGTCTAGTGTCTAGTTTTATGCTATCCTGTCTAGTGTCTAGTTCTATGCTACTCTGTCTAGTGTCTAGTTCTATGCTACTCTGTCTAGTGTCTAGTTCTATGCTTTCCTGTCTAGTGTCTAGTCTATGCTATCCTGTCTAGTGTCTAGTTCTATGCTACTTTGTATAGTGTCTAGTTCTATGCTTTCCTGTCTAGTGTCTCGTCTATGCTTTCCTGTCTAGTGTCTAGTTCTATGCTATCCTGTCTAGTGTCTAGTCTATGCTATCCTGTCTAGTGTCTAGTTCTATGGTTCTCTGTAGTTTACTAAGGTTGCATGATTTTCTAAGTTGTAACTACGCAATTCAATAATAAACAACGAAGTTGAAAACCACTTTCAACAAGGCAATTTCTGTCGTCATCGTATATTTTGGTGCAATAACAAATAAATGTTATAAAACATTGATTTTAAATAAAATTTTACTTTGCAACATGTTGTTCATTTAGTACATCAAACTGAACGACTAGATTAAATTATTTGATGTCAATAAACTATAAAATATATCAATTTAAATATTTTTAAGATGGTTCCGGGGATCCCGGAAGTGAGAAAACGTTACTTCCGGTCACGGAAGTGGAAAAAACGCACAAACGAAATTATTCCGTAGGTAAGAATTTTTTTAATGAAAAGGGGATGGTGAAAATGTCCTATTTGATGTAGGGGGGAGGGGGGGGCCTGCCTTCATTCTTGGTTCAAATCTTCTAATTTTTTGCTGCACGCCTAATTAGTGAAATTCCTAAAATAAAATAAAATTGAATTTTAATTACCTCTAATGACCTCCACAAATATAAAATGTTTTAACTTTGGCTTTATGCATACAAATATTTTTATTTTGGAGGTCATTTTAGGTCATTATAGGTCATTAGAAGGTCAAACACTGGATTCTTTGCTGCTACTGTATTCTTTGGGTTCCTAACTTTCGTTTGATATGCATAAAGCCATAGTTAAAACATTTAATTTTAGAGATCCTTTTAGGTCATTAGAGGTCATTAAGAGGTCATTAGAATGTTAAACACTGGATTCGTTGCTGCTCCTGTATTCCCTGGGTTCCTAGATCCTAAAATCTTTATGGTTTTGCTGTCACAAATTTTTTTTTGTAAATTTATTATTTCTCTTAAACATTTAATTTCTTTAACTCAGGAGGTAATGGCTTCAAGTCTGACCAAGACACAGTCATTATCAGGTAAATATGGGTTTCTAGCTGCAGTAGCAAGAATAAAGACGACATTAACACTTCCCTTTATATGAAAATAAAAGTCTTTGTCTTTGTTTATAAAAAACACCGATTACATGAAAGATAATTTTTAAAAAAACATGGAATATCCGTCACTTTAAATAATATAGATATTGGATCAATTATCTATTTCCGTTATTATCCATAAACTTCCGGTTTCTTTTTATACTAGAAACAATTCCTTATATACGGGAAAAGGTTAAATTATTAAAATTAATTGCTAAAATTATTTTGATGCAAGATTAAATAGTTATACCATTTTTAAAAGTATCTAAACACTTCTACACCCCCCCCCCCTAACATTTATTTATGTAAGGTACTTCCCACGGGCATTTTCCCAGCTGTGCAATTTTCAAGGGCATTTTCCCAACTATGCAATTTCCCAAGGGCATTTTCCCAACTGTGCAATTTCCCAAGCAACAACTTCCAAAGTCTGTCCAAGCCGCAGCGCCCCCCCCCCCCATTTCGGCCTTCGTTGCCTCAGAGTCGGAAGGCCTAAACGTTACTTTGTGAAGTTGCCGCTTAGGAAATTGCACATTTGGGAAGTTGCCCTTTGAAATAACCTTTGGCAAAATACCTAATTTACTGTTGGAATGAGAATATCATTTTTGTTTAAAAATTTAATTTATTTACGTTTAGTCATCATGAAACAGTTCACCACGGACACAGCCACGCCCACTCCCACATTCACTCCGCCCCCAGCTCCATCTCCAGCGTGGCCTGGATGGTTATATTCGGCGACGGGATACATAATCTGGCCGACGGACTAGCCATCGGCGCTGCATTCGCCGACGGTATGTGGTCAGGTATGTTTTTTCTTTAATGGAGAATTGCCCCCTCACCCACAAGGTTTTTTTTTTAAAACTCAAAGAATCAGTTTACAACTATTTAAATCTTTAATAAGAAAGGACGCCACGGAATTTTTTCTTACTCTCCCGCAAACTGGAAACCCTTTATTTCAATCTCAGCATAGTATACATTATGATGAGATTTGGGGCGTCCCTAAATGGTTGATTGATTGACTGTTTACGTAGGTGTATCCACAAGTGTTGCTGTGCTTTGTCACGAGCTCCCGCATGAGATTGGGGACTTCGCCATGCTTCTCAAGACGGGGATGTCGTTCAAGGTGATGGGTCACATTATGTTATTTTAAAGGAACTGTTGGCGAAAAAGAAATATTCAGTAAAAACTTGGTTTTCCACTGGTTTATCTGTTGATAGGATGACTTAGAAAGGGAATCCTCCAAAAATCATTATTTTCCCCACTTTATCTTTCAACTGTTTTTAAAAACTTATAAAAATTTGTTCTCCTGGCAAACATTCATATTTCAAACTGTATTTGCGAAAAAAATGTATTTAGCTACATTATATTCAATGCATTTCCATTTTAGGGACTCATTATTCTAATTTATTTATTATGTTTTCATCTAAACTCATACTGAAGGTATTATTTCAGAAAACACTTCATGTACAAAGCGGCACGTCAGATTCACCTCGTTGTACCCTTGATTTGTCTGACTAGAATGGATATTCATGTTTTTTTGTTTAAAATTGATCATATTTAATTATGACCTTTTAGATTTCTTGATCCAGAAACAACGGCAAAATAGTTCAGAATTTAACACTTGTCAACACTAGAAATACAACGATATCTTTCATATTTGAAGGTTTGAAGGGTACCGTGCGAAATCGGACATGCCCTACTTTGAACTAAGTGTCACTTGAATTTTAAATAACAGTCCCTTAAAGGTTTAAACTAAGTTGATTGATTGATCTTGTCTTAAGTGGTCTTTAACATAAGAAACCTCTATTAGAAATAAACCTGTATTGTGAAAGATTACCTTCCCATTTCCAAAAGATTAATATTTTTTTTATTTTTAACGATTTCCTTGTTCAATGTTCTTAATATTTTTAACGATTAGTTTTTAATATTTGAAAATATATGATTAAGGTACTAATGATACAATGCTTAAGCATTCTTTGTATTTATTATATTCTTGTATTCTAGAAAGCTGTACTTTACATTCATTCTAGAAAATAGTATTTTTATTCATTTTATTGGAGAAAGCTATATTCTATATTCATTGTATTCTAGAAAGCTATATTCTATGTTGATTTTATTCCAGAAAACTGTAATCTAGAAAGCTGTATTTTTTATTCATTGTATTCTAGAAAGCTGTATTCTTTATTCATTGTATTCTAGAAAGCTGTATTCTATATTCATTGTATTCTAAAAAGCTTTATTCTATATTCATTGTATTATAGAAAGCTATATTCTATAGTCATTGTATTCTAGAAAGCTATATTCTATATTGATTTTATTCCAGAAAACTGTATTCTAGAGAGCTGTATTCTTTATTCATTGTATTCTAGAAAGCTGTATTCTTTATTCATTGTATTCTAGAAAGCTGTATTCTTTATTCATTGTATTCTATAAAGCTGTATTCTATATTCATTGTATTCTAAAAAGCTGTATTTTATATTCATTGTATTCTAGAAAGCTGTACTTTATATTCATTGTATTCTAGAAAGCTGTATTCTATATTCATTGTATTCTAGAAAGCTGTATTCTATATTCATTGAATTCTAGAAAGCTGTATTCTATATTCATTGTAATCTAGAAAGCTGTAATCTAATCTATAGTCATTGTATTCTAGAAAGCTGTATTCTTTATTCATTGTATTCTAGAAAGTTATATTCTATAGTCATTGTATTCTAGAAAGTTGTATTTTATTTTCATTGTATTCTAGAAAGTTGTATTCTATATTCATTGTGTTCTAGAAAGCTGTATTCTATAACGTGGTATCGTCTGTGCTGGCGTTTGTCGGTATGTTGATTGGTTTAGTTCTGGGAAATCTGGAGAACTTCTCATCCTGGATGTTTGCGGCAACTGCAGGTACTTTACGCGACTTTACTTCTATTTTTTCTATTTTCCAGAAGAAAAAAGGATTTTTTATCATTATTGTTCTAACATCAGGGGTATATGTTTTTCAGAATCCCCCTGTGAAAAAAAAAAATGAAAAATTTGAAATTAAAATACAAGATTTTTCATACCATTGATACTTTTTACCAAAAAATGTATATTTTGTCCCCTTAAATTCATTTTTTCTCCCCATTTCAGCGAATAACACATTTTAAAAAATTTGCGATCCGCTCGAACATACCCAACTTCTGGGGAGGAGGGGGATTTAATCAAGAAAATATACACCCCTGAATAAATGTTTTTCAGGTGTATTCCTGTACGTTGCTTTGGTTGATATGATGCCTGAACTAAGCTCGGGGCACACTCATCCTTTATCTAAAGAAAACCAGACAGAAGGACATTTTATTCCTATTCTTCTCCAGGTATAGACATTAGACATTAGACATTAGACACTCATCCTTTATCTAAAGAAACCCAGACAGAAGGACATTTTATTCCTATTCTTCTCCAGGTATAAACATTAGACATTAGACATTAGACACTCGTCCTTTATCTTAAGAAAACCAGACAGAAGGACATTTTATTCCTATTCTGCTCCAGGTATAGACATTAGACATTAGACACTCATCCTTTATCTAAAGGAAACCAGGCAGAATGACATTTTATTCCTATTCTTCTCCAGGTATATACATTAGACATTAGACATTAGACACTCATCCTTTATCTAAAGAAAACCAGACAGTTGGACATTTTATTCCAGTTCTTCTCCAGGTATAGACATTAGACATTAGACACTCATCCTTTATCTGAAGTTAACCAGATAGAAGGACATTTTATTCCTACTCTTCTCCAGGTATAGACATTAGACATTCGAAACTAGACACTAGACATTACGACAAACTCAATGTTGAATTGAGATTTTTGCCTTGAATTTAGTTTTATAAAGGCATATATAATATAATGATTTTGCAAAGAAAGAAACAATTTTACTGCTTCAGGGAATAATTAATCTTAGGAAACAGACAGTATACATTCCGTGCAGTCGTCTCATCCTTTGGTGGTAACCCTATATCAGACAGTTAGGACATTTTGTTCCTTTATCTCTCCGAGTTATAGACATCAGACATTCATACTGTGTCTGACAAATATTTTTTTAGAATACTCAAGTGTTCCCTAAAAAATTTCAGCTGTTTTGTCAGCTGTGGTTATTATATAAATATATATTTGAGATATTTGGTCCAGGGTTTTAAGTTTTTATTACAGTTGTTTGGGTGTATTATTTTCACAATCTTCCTTCATTTATCATGTACGGACTTTGAATAGATTAAATTAACCGATTTATATTTAAAATTTTAAATTGTGTGTTTTTCCCTACAAATATGCATGGTACCGTCTTAGAAACAAATTCCAATAGGTTGCCATGAGATTTTGAAGAAAAATATGAATACCGTCATTGGTGTCAAATGTGACACAGTTCCAGACGTTTTTTTTTATTGTAGGAACATTATACAGGGTGTCCTTTTAATATTGCTGTAACTTTGATATTGTTTGGAATTTTTCCAATCCATAAAAAAATGAATAATCAAAATATGAACGTTTTGTTTTATAACTTTTTCTTTTACAACTTCTTTTTCTTAAATAATTGTTAAAAATTACCGCCATTTCCTTAAATACATAATTCAGCTCTAGCTTAGAAGTATTTGGGCCGGGTTGACCTTGAAGAGTAATAATTCTTTAACGAAAGGAAGTATCGACGAATTTTAAAATCTCTGAGGTAGCTCCTGACCTTAGCTATCTTCGTGTTAAATAAGTTTTATCTAACCCGCCTACCCAAAGAAAGGTATAACTGTGTGTAAAACATTTTGTCATAACACTGAGAATTGAAATGTAAATTAACGTATAATAATCTATTAGCAAATAACTTAAAATTTTTAATATTATGAACTAGTCAATAATGATAGATTAAATTTTTTCAAATTAAACCCAAGGTTTTCCCCTTCTGTACATGGTGTCCTCGGACAGAATTATTATTATAAAGATTTATTCACACACAAAGATATAAATAATATAAAACATATTTATCATTTCAGTTATTATGTAATCATCGAATCCTTCAACATACAAATTATTCATTCTTTTATTTTAAAGTTCTTGTAAAACCGGAACTGTCCATGCATATAGCAATGAAAACCGTTTTGACGTTTATTGGATGCAATCAAATCAATCAATCAATCAGAGAAGCAAAGTATATATTTATATATTCATGTTTAGTTACTGGGTATGGGAACAGGAGTTGGAATTATGACGATCATAGCGCTATATGAGGAGGACTTTAAAACTCTGGTATCGGACTAGAATGAGACAATATCAAGTTTGATCTGAAATCAAGAGAATGATGAGGAACCTGTGCTGAATACTAGAACGTATCGAAGAAAGTATCAAGCGCTTCCTCTGAAAACTTGTACTTTTTAAAAACTGATCTGATCAACTTTTGATCATCTTTAAAAACTTGCATTGAGTCCATTTTAAACATTAACTTTTCTCGAAGTCATCGTTAAAGACGAAAAAATTGGTGCATTTAAAGGGACTGTAAAAGAAAAATGGAAAGGGGTATAAATTCTTATAAACTTGACACAATTTTATATCAATTTCTCGAGGCAGGAACATCAGATATAATTTTCATGGGTCGCGATCATGAGCTAAAGTGATTAGTTTTCAGCCTCCACCCCCTTTCATTTTTCCTTTACACTCTCTTTTTAATGACTCCAAATTAACAATGGTCTGTCCAATTCACAAGGGTACCCTTTAAACCTAAAATTGTGTTAAAATCTGGCCATTTCTTCCATTTCATTTGCAGCTTCTGAAAGTATCTTTTTTTTTTAGCCATAACAGAAGTCAATAAGGGTTTCTCGTTTATCCTCGATCTGACAAAGTGTACAGTTGTGAATCGGACATAACACTGTTAAAGGAGGATTATTTGAAACGATAGCAACTGTCCATATCAGCTGTATAAGAGTGTTACTTAAACTAATCATGAAAATTAAACCTTCTTAAATTTTCAGTTTTGACGAAAAAAAGTTGTTGTTAAAACTCGAGATTTTTTATAAATTTCTGAAAAAAAATCATGAGGAGGAAAAAAATCTTTGTTTTGTTATAAATCTATTTGTTGCAACAAAAAAATAACAGTTAATCTTTTTCTATTGTTGAACAGTAACACTTAACTGAATGTATTTTTTGTAACTTGCACAGTTGTTATTATGTGCATTGTACATATGTTATGTGTTATTCATATATGCTTTGTACTCAAACAAACGAAAATCAAGTTCTTAACGGTTCACAAGACTGGTGACATAATTTCAAGGAACCCTCCGTTTATAGAGTGCCATTCACGATTCACAAGTCACAATAATACCCTTAAATTCTTTGTCCAACACTAGAGAAATATCCTCGTTTTTATCTTAAAAAGTGTCCAATTCTGTAAATTACGTTCTTTGTCTCTGCTTCTTGAAATCCACAAGTCGCAAAAGAGAAACCACAATAAAAAATTAGCAATTTTTGAAAAGTAAGATAAGGATATTTTTGCATTATTTGGCTACGGTTTTAAGGGTTGTGAATCGAGCTTGTGTCTCTTTTACTGAAAGTTCACTTGAAAAACATGTCCAGTCTCTTTAAGTCAAATCTATTGTTAACCCAGTGCTATGTCTTAATGTCATTAGTTTCCGGTGAATTTTGTATTATTCATTTTCTGAATTTTTTTTAATTAACTATTTACAATCTTCTATGTACACTTTAAGTCATATCTTTGATTGGATTTGACGATGCTTACTTTTGTTTTCGTTTTCCTACCAAGGTTAAAACGAAAACTGTAGTTCAAATACTAATATTTTTTAGAATTAGTTTTGTAGGGAGAGGAATGTTCTGCATTATTTTCTTATAAAGTATCGTTGCTTGTATGTTAACCAATTGTCAACCCATAACCGTCCTATATCCAACCAGTTTTTTTTCTTCCATGCGATCTCTTTTTTGTATTTGTTTTCGCAAATTTTACAGATTTTCGGCTCAGGTCTCTCTAAACCAAACGGGCAGTTTTGTTTTATAAAATTTCCCTTTAAAAAATCTCTTATTCTAAATCAACTGTAAATAGATTTAGAGAGGCCTACAGTTTCTGTAAGAATGATCTTCTATGAATCTTGTTCACGAAATAATACCGTTCAATAAATTTATACGTATTATTTTGCTTTTTCTTGTAGTCCGTAGTCTGTAGTCTGTATCCTGGTAGTCCAAAGCCTGGTAGTCCGTATCCTGGTAGTCCGTAACCTGGTAGTCCGTAACCTGGAAGTCTGTAGACGTAGTCTGTATCCTGGTAGTCCGTAGCCTGTAGTCCATAGCCTGGTAGTTTGTAGCCTGGTAGTCTGTATCCTGGTAGTCTGTAACCTGGTAGTTCGTAGCCTGGTAGTCCGTATCCTGGTAGTCTGTACCCTGTTGTCTGTATCCTGGTAGCATATCCTGTTGTCCGTATCCTGGTAGTCCATACCCTGTAGTTCGTATCCTGGTAGTCTGTACCCTGTAGTCCGTATCCTGGCAGTATAGCCTGTTGTCCGTATCCTGGTAGTATAGCCTGTTGTCCATATCCTGATAGTATAGCCTGTTGTCCGTATCCTGGTAGTATATCCTGTTGTCCGTATCCTGGTAGTATAGCCTGTTGTCCGTATTCTGGTAGTACGTAGCCTGTTGTCCATATCCTGGTAGTATGTAGCCTGTTGTCCATGTCCTGGTAGTATAGCCTGTTGTCCGTATTCCTGGTAGTATAGCTTGTTGTCCGTATCCCTGGTAGTATAGCCTGTTGTTTGTATCCTGGTAGTATAGCCTGTTGTCCGTACGTATCCTTGTTAGTATATAGCCTGTTGTCTGTATCCTGGTAGTATAGCCTGTTGTCCGTATCCCTGGTAGTATAGCCTGTTGTCTGTATCCTGGTAGTATAGCCTGTTGTCCGTATCCTTGGTAGTATATAGCCTGTTGTCCGTATCCTGGTAGTGTTGCAGCTGTTGTCCGTATCCTGGTAGTACGTAGCCTGTTGTCTGTATCCTGGTAGTATAGCCTGTTGTCCGTATCCTGGTAGTATATAGCCTGTTGTCCGTATCCTGGTAGTGTCACAGCTGTTGTCCGTATCCTGGTAGTACGTAGCCTGTTGTCTGTATCCTTGGTAGTATATAGCCTGTTGTCCATATCCCTGGTAGTATAGCCTGTTGTCTGTATCCTGGTAGTACGTAGCCTGTTGTCCGTATCCTGGTAGTACGTAGCCTCACCTGAGCTCGTTGACTAAACTTTCATAGGGAAGAAGAATCGCCATTTGGAATGGCAAAGGATAAATGTCCCCCCCCCCCCACCAAAAATTATATTTTTTTTAAATTCTGCATCTTTCCTCTGGGTGCGCTGTCGGCCTCCGATTTATGAGAGAAGTCCTCCTTCAATATAAAAGGTGTCCAAGCAAGACTTGCGACATTTATTTTCCAACCACCAAACCAAAATTTTAATAAACCGAAATGAAGGAGTTTAAATCTAAGAATCCTACTGGGAGTTCCTAAACCGGTACTGGTACAAACGTCGGACGGTGCAATGCAGGTGCGAAGAGGAGGGGGGCGGTACCCCTGTGCCCCCCCTAGAGCCAGAGGCACGCTCTAATTTATTAATCAGTATTATTCAGACTTTTTACTTTTCTTATCAATCGACAATGTCACAATTTGTCCATTTTATGATTATTTCTTAAATTTATTCTTATTTACAATATTTTTTTTTCGCGGGGTTTCATTTAAAATGATTGGTTATTATGGTCAGATGACTAATAGTAGATTAATATAGATTTTAAACTTTATTTTTTCTTAATACCGGTTTTTTAGCGGGGTGCACAGAAGAAAAAAAATTCGGCGCGCCAAATGTGCACCCCCCTACGCTAAACCTCTACTAAGCGTCTGGTGCAATGGTCGGTCTTAGGTTGAGATTGGGAAAAATACCATTGCCATAAGAAATAAATTAAAAATCACTCCCTTATTGTGATATTGAAGGTAGAACTGTATAAATAACAGACTGTAAAGGTTGACTTCTTGTCACAAACACAATATACCTTTCCTACCCTATGTTGTAGAGCTTTGATATGTCAACCTATGAAATCTATTAGCATCAACAGTTTGAATTTGAACGTATCAATGGTTAATACTACAAGGTTGCAAAGATATAGGGATTAGAATATTTGAGTTAGTGGCAAGAATTCAGATCCTTTAGGTAGGTTTTATATTAGGCCATTCCGTAAATAAAACAACTTCTTAAAAAATGCTTTAAATTTCAACTGAATCTTTTCGCTTAGTCCGACGATTGTGCTGTTCCGACGTTAGTACCAGTCCGACGTTTGCAAGTTATAGGTTTTTTCGTCCGACGTTTGTACTAGACCCATACATCCATACTTATTCAATTTTAGGTAAGTTAAGTGAGTAAAAAAAGTGAAAAATTATTTATTTATGAAATAAAACAAAAACATACAAAATAAAGTGTTTCAGGAGGAAGTATTTAAAAACCTCTGAAAGCAGAGGTTGCGGGAATATTTCCCCCCAATTCTAAAAATTGACAAAATTTTATCAAATATGCCTTGAGTAATAAAAATAAATATGTTTTTATGTTAACTTAAAAAAACAGCTTCTGAGCTAGTACATTTTCCTTGAATAATAAAAAATATGTTTATGTTAAAAAAAAAATAAAAAAATAGCCTATGAGACAGTACATATTTGCCTTGAATAATAAAATAATATGTATATGTTAATTTAAAAAAAACTAGCCTTTGAGAGAGTACAACAATTTTTTTCTCTCAAATTTAAATCTTGTTCAACCGCTAAACTCGTACTTTATTTGTTAAAATACTTTTTAAAATACAGTTTTTTTGCTTTCAACCGCTGGTTTTAAGTTTTTTCAGCAACTTGTTTAGTTTCAACCGCTGAGTTTAAGATTTTCAACAACTTTTTTTCTTTCAACCGTTGGGTTTAAGATTTTCAACAACTTTTTGCTTTCAACCGCTGGTTTTAAGTTTTTTCAGCAACTTGTTTAGTTTCAACCGCTGGGTTTAAGATTTTCAACAACTTTTTGCTTTCAACCGCTGGTTTTAAGATTTTTCAGCAACTTGTTTAGTTTCAACCGCTGGGTTTAAGATTTTTCAGCAGCTTGTTTCTTTCAACCGCTGGTTTTAAGATTTTCAACAACTTTTTGCTTACAACCAATGAAAAATTATTTTTCTTAAAAAAACTTTTTCCTTTCACCGCTATAGTGTAACCATCTCCCCCCCCCTCATTTTTCAGTGGTTGAAAGCAAAAAGTTGTTGAAAATCTTAAAACCAGTGGTTGAAAGCAAAAAGTTGTTGAAAATCATAATCCCAGAGGTTGAAAGAAAAAAGTTGCTGAAAAATCTTAAAACCAGCGGTTGAAAGCAAAAACGTTTTTCAAGAAAAATTATTTTTCAGTGTTTGAAAGCAAGAAAGTTCTTGAAAATATCTTAAGCCCAGAGGTTGAAAGCAAAAATTTGTCGAAAATCTTAAAACCAGCGGTTGAAAGCAAAAATAGTGGAATTTTTTCTTTTCATTGTGAAATGTTAGATAGATAGATAGATACAGTTTATTGCTAAAGAACATGTATCTGTGTACAGACTACAAAACACCTTTACATTTACAAATTGATAATCATTTTAACAATACAATAAGGTGGAAAATAGCTCTTGGCTATCTCGATTATTTTTTCAACCTAATTTCAATGATGATAACAAAAATTTCAATTAAATAGATTTAAGGAGAACTATAATTACAGATCAGGGTGCGATTTAACTTATGCAAAGTAGTGTATACTCTTGTTAGAATAACTAGAGTTTAAAATAATTTTTTGACATGTACACAACAAATATCAAAGCATATTAAAACATATCAAATTAGTTATACATCAATAGCAAATGAATTATGAATGTTTTATAATTGACAAGGATTTTAATTTTGCAGCTTAACTATTTCCAAAACATTTTTAGCTGGACATAAATGTTTCAACAATAGCAAATTAAAAAAGTGAAAAGATGTCAATAATTTCGGGATTTTCCTAAACTAGCTAGACATAAGTGTAAAGATGACAATAAATTCGCAATTTTCTTAATTTAGCTAGACATAAGTGAAAAGATGACAATAATTTCGCAAATTTCCTAAACTAGCTAGACATAAGTGAAAAGATGACAATAATTTCGCAAATTTCCTAAAGTAGCTAGACATAAGTGAAAAGATGACAATAATTTTGCAATTTTCATAAACTAGCTAGACATAAGTGAAAAGATGACAATAATTTTGCAATTTTCATAAACTAGCTAGACATAAGTGAAAAGATGTCAATAATTTCGCAATTTTCATAAACTAGTTAGACATAAGTGAAAAGATGTCAATAATTTCGCAATTTTCATAAACTAGCTAGACATAATTGTGAAAAGATGACAATAATTTCGCAATTTTCATAAACTAGCTAGACATAAGTGAAAAGATGACAATAATTTCGCAACTTTTAAAGTGAAAAGATGACAATACGACTAATACCGAAGAACGTAGTGTCCATACAAATTCAGAAAGATGCAACATTCAACTCGGATCGTAAAAAAATCTATTTAATTCAAAACAAATCATTCAGATATTACAAACAATAGTCATCGATAATTTTTTGACGCATTCGTAAATAGTTGATATTTCATAATATTTTGTATTTTTCATGATCTGAGAGTTACTTTTGAAAACACATATTCCTGTTTCCGAGGATTTTTGATAATGAAGACGACATTTTCATATTTTCCAGGAATGTTCGAAAATCCAGCGCCAGCGAAAATTATATAAAAAAATCAAAAATATTATGAAATATTAACTATATACGAATGCGTCGAAAAATAACCGATGACTATTGTTTGTAATATCTGAATGATTTGTTTTGAACTAAATTGATTTGTTTACGATCCGAGTTGAATGTTGCATCTTTCCGAATTTGTATGGGCGCTGCGTTCTTCGGTATGAGTCGTTTTTAACAATTTTCTCCTTATAGACGCGACAGATAAAAGTAAGATTAGTAGCGATCAAAAGCGCTTTTTTATCGCATTAAGCCTATACCCCCTTTCATTTTTCGCTAAAACTCCCTTTAAATATCAAAATTTATTCCAAAATAACTATTATAAAATAGAAATAAGAAAATTTAGGAAGATTGGAAAAAGGTCGATGTGAGTTTGACAGTGAAACCCATAAAACTGTGGAATAAAAGACGACTTTTAGACAATCAAGTTCTGATGGCTGTCGTATTCCAATCTTAAGGTTTAATGGATCTCACTGTTTAAGTTTTCAGCTTTCAGAAATATCTGTGCAACAGTACACTCGTAGATAACCTAAATCTGGTTCTATTGACTTGAATACAGTGGTAAGCGATTATTTCATTACATGAAGACGACTTTTTCATTTTTTATTTTTTTTTTTTTATTATTTTGTTTTGATTGTTAACAAGCCTTTTTCCAATTACAAGTTTACCATTAATCAAAGAAAAGCTTTTGATAATTGACAGCTTCTCTTGACTTCTATTTTTATGTGCATCCATGCTGACAGCTTAACACAAATCAAAATTAAAATGTGGTTTTCATTTTATTATTAGCATACCGCCGTATTATAAAACTACAGTGGTGCTGGCAAGCTCATGGTAAACTCCGGTTAATTTCAAGTGCTAAGCCGAATTTTAACAAGCTAGAGGGAGCAGTACCGTACAATGATTTCTTGGTAAAACAAGTTTGACATGATGCTTTTCAAAATCTGGGTGGTAATCATGGAATTCTTAGAAGTTCTCTCCTAGCTCTTAAGATAAATAAGATGGACTTAAACCCAAAATTAAAGAGTCCTTTAAACTAAAATAAAGATCAGAACTGCAGTTGGTTATCTTCTAGGTCTTAAGATGAATAAAACGGACTTAAACCCAAAATTAAAGAGTCTTTTAAACTAGAATAAAGATTAGACCTACAATTGATTCTCTCCTAGCTCTTAAGATGAATAAGATGGACTTAAACCCAAAACTACAGAGTCCTTTAAACTAGAATAAAGATCAGAACTGCATTTGGTTCTCTTCTAGCTCTTAAGATGAATAAAACGGACTTAAACCCAAAATTACAGAGTCCTGATAAAAAATGAAGAATGCAAATACAATTGATTCTCTACTAGCTCTTCATGATTCAGATTGACTCAACCCCAGAAGAGTCCTGAGCTAGAATGAAGAACGAACATACAATTGATCCTCACTTGGCAGTGGATGAAGAAGTGACTCCGAACCTTGTTGTTACTTTCATCATTTTCATTCTTGGACTTCTTTCTAATATCCTGGCATTCATCCTCAGGTATCTATATATTTATAAAATTCGGTTATGGTGATGTACCAAACCATATTTGAAAATCAATAATTTCTCTGTAGAAGTTGCTTGCAGATTTTTGCAGCAGAGTCAAAGAGAAAAATTGACAAAATAAATATAATTTAAAGATAGAAGTTGCTGATTGGGCATATTGAACTAAAGTGTCAGTTAAATGTTTATTCTGTCTCGGCATTACAAAGGTTCCCTATCTCTAGTTTAATGTCTATTCTGTCTAGGCATTACAAAGGTTCCCTACCTATAGTTTAATGTTTATTCTATCTAGGCATTACAAAGGTTCCGTACCTCTTCTGAAAACCAATGTTCTTCTTCTTCTCAACCACAACATAGTTCAACTACTAAACATCTGTGTTTCTATGATGGTAACTTTACATTTTTACTTTCTATGCTAGCTAGGCATCATCTATATTGGATTTGAGCCAAATACAAATCTAAACAAATGGATATTTAAACAATCTTATAGTCGTCAATTTTAATCTGGAAAAATTACTGCAAAGCCGCCCAAATACTTTCTAAAATTTAATGGAATACAAATACTTGATCTCGAGTTTTACAATACAAAATTCCTGACTTCAGTGCCAACCCTTTGACAGTGCCCTAACTTTCTTAGAATGTCATAAAGCAAAACGTGAAATCTGAACAATTCACTCTGAAAGTTAGTCATCGAACTTTTAGACAGCCTTGACTTTTCAGACTTGTAACGCATTGATCTTTGGTTTTACCTCACTCATACTTTTTTGGTTTTTTTTAGGTTAAAAATGAGGTATTTGCAAAAAACTGCTTAATTTTTGCTGTGTATCAAATAGATTATTTTAATTTAATCAATTAATTATTTTAACTAATTTATTAATATATGCTTTTATATTAAGAGTGGAACTGCTATGTGGAGAGTATGTATAGCTCCTCTACCTTACAGTATTGGATTCTTAATCTACGTTATCTCTGAATGGTTTGCCAATATCATTGTTGGAACAGTCCTAGCGGTTGTCTTTCTCCGGGTTCTACACGTAGTGAAGGTATACTATTCGTCGCTTAAGATATTTTTGCCAATATCATTGTTGGAACAGTCCTAGCGGTTGCCTTTCTCCGGGTTCTACACGTAGTCAAGGTATTCTATTCGTCGCTTAAGATATTTTTGCCAATATCATTGTTGGAACAGTCCTAGTGGTTGTCTTTCTCCGGGTTCTACACGTAGTCAAGGTATACTATTCGTCGCTTAAGATATTTTTGCCAATATCATTGTTGGAACAGTCCTAGTGGTTGCCTTTCTCCGGGTTCTACACGTAGTCAAGGTATTCTATTCGTCGCTTGCCAATATCGATGTTGGAACAGTCTTAGCTGTTGCCATCCTCCAGGTCAAGGTTTTCTATGGCTACATTTTGCTTAGTCACAATTTGCCTAGTCACATTTTGCCTAGTCACAACTTGCCTAGTTCACTTTTGCCTAGGTAACATTTTGCCTAGATAACATTTTGCCTAGGTAACTTTTTGCCTAGTTCAAGTTTGCCTAGGAACATTTTGCCTCGGGTAACATTTTGCCTATTGCTTTTAAAAAACAAACAAATTTTGTCAAAAATTATACATTTTTTAAAAGTTCAGTTAAATTTGTAATGAATTAAATGTTATAGGACAATTGAATTGTATTGTATTCCTATTACTCTACAAAAGATAAAATATGGTTTTGTATCAGATATATTTTTTTTAAATACAGTTTACATCATGGAGTATAGATAGGAACACATACAGGTTATATCTTTATTTATCATTATTTATCTTCTGCTGGTCACGTGAAAGAGTTTGGATATGATCAGCTTTCGGCATGGTATGGAAAGCTTCTACAACAAATTTCAGCTGCAGTCCCTTGATCTCTGCTTTCGCCCTGAATTTGTCGCCATGTCCAGGCGGAGCACATCCCCTTTCATGTTTCCAGTAGATATCCTAGTTGTTATGGTTGCAGTGCAAGATCTCTGGGAACAGCGCCAATTCTTGGTCTCTGCCCTCTCCCAATTAAAAACATAGGAGAAGTTATTCTTATCCCTGTAGTTATCATGGGATCCATTTTCAATGTGTATCTCCTTCTGATTGGTTTATACAAAACTGAATTATTTTCAAAAATTTGTGAAGCTTTTGCCAAAAAATGTGAGAAATTTTTGAGAAAAATTCTCGGATTGTTGAAAATTTCTTTGTGAAAAAATTATTGACTAGGCAAAAAATTCGCTCTAGTGTTACCCTAGGCAAAATGTTACTCTAGGCAAAATGTTACCCTAGGATAATTGTTACCCTTTAAAAATTTTCTAAAATTATCGTTTTATGTTTTTTGAAAGTACAGAACCAGTGGTTCGTTTTCAAAAACGATTGTTTTTTAAAAAAACAAAACGATAGTTAAAAAAAACGAAACGAAAACGAAAGTTTTTCGATCGTTTCTGAAAGCGATTAAGAAACCAACATGTATGTATTTAGTATGAGCAAATGATTGCGCTGGATCCTGAAGAATGGTCTCGGAAGATTCAGCTTGCCATCATGGGATTCTACGCTATGATTGTAGCTATTCCTGTTCCACTACAGCTTAAAGGAGGTTAATCATAGATTAACAACAATATAGATAGATCAGGAGATGTCGTATTTTCAAGATTAAGGGTTTTTTCGTTCACAATAACCCTGAGGCAGATGCCCAAAAGAGTTACGCGCATGTTCTTTCTCTTATTGTTTTTCAACGCAGAATGCGTGTAACTCCTCAGGGCCTCTCCCTCAGGGTTATTGTCAATGAAAATGCAGATTAACAAAAGATCGAGATCAATGCTTGATCAATACAAGAGTTCGGCCGCACCTTAGTATATCAAAATGATATCTAAAATACAGAGTTGGTCCTATGAACGGTAGAATAGAAAGACGACTGTTAGACAAAAGTATGCAATAAATAATACAATGAACATAAAATATTCAGACAATTATATGCAACTTGTACAAAACCATTTTCTGAAAAAACGATTTGCTTTAAAACACAAATTATTGCTTTACTCGTTTTCCAATTATATTTTTTTAGGATATGCTCTAATAGATGATCGTAGTAAACCCTATATTTATAACCCTGAGCACACCTAAATATAATGTATCAGGGATTCATGTTAAAGATTACAGAGATTGTATCAGGGATACACATTAAATATTACAGAGAGTGCAACAGGGATACACATTAAGGATACAGAGAGTGCAACAGGGATACACATTAAGATTACAGAGAGTGCAACAGGGATAAACATTAAGATTACAGAGAGTGCAACAGGGATACACATTAAGATTACAGAGAGTTGTATCAGGAATACATGTTAAAGATTACAGAGATTGTATCAGGGATACATGTTAAAGATTACAGAGAGTTGTATCAGGGATACATGTTGAAGATTACAGAGATTGTATCAGGGATACATGTTAAAGATTATAGAGATTGTATCAGGGATACATGTTAAAGATTACAGAAATTGTATCAGGGATACATACTAAAGAATATAGCAGCGTCCGTCGGAATTGATAGAGATTAAGTATTATTGAGGAACCTAGAGTTCGTGATTGTGTTGTATCTTGTAAGACAGATACCCAAGAATACAGATAGAGTCATATCCGGTTTGATATTGTCTAAAGTATAATTGAGGACCCTATGTCCGAATTCAATGAATTTAAGCCGCGTCTTAAATCCCCCTAAAACCAGTTTCAATTGAGCGCCGGCTTAAATCTTAAAAAAAAAGAATCCAATTTTAAGTGGAACCAACCATATTTGAGCCCCGGGTTAAATTTAATCATGAACTCTAGAAATAGAGGATGCTTTAAAATTACGTTAGCAGTCCCTTTTTAGGAGATGTGTACCCTCACCTATCCTTCTATACTGGATATGCTACTCATCAAAAGATGAACCCTCACGCTATCTTGCTCGCGGTCAACACGTTCTTTGTTGCAACTATTACGCTGGGCTGCTACATCTTTACTAAATTCTATCTCAGGCAAGTCTTGATGATTTCAATTCAGCGTAACCCATAAAACTCTGGAATATGAAGACGATGTTCTTTGTACTTAAAACTGCTGACAACTCTTAGGCTCAAGTTTGATTTTGAGTAATTTGATTTTCAAACTTGTAAAATGATTACAATTAATCACAAAAAAATACCATTCAAATTTCTTAAAAGTCGTCTTCCATTTCACAGTTTTTTAGGTTCCACGGTTAATACAATTTTCAGATCGAGAATTATTGTGTACAATTATTACGTTCGTACTTAAAGCTTAATCTGCTCTGAAACGATTAAAGTAGTATTTTTTTCGCAAAATTTTAGTGTTTTTTTTCGCAAATTATCCGGGTTTTTTTGAGAAGTTTTTTTGCATTATTTTTTTTCATTTTTTTCGCGAAATTTTCTCATTGCCTTTTTTGCGAACATTTAGCATTCGCTAAGCAGCTTAAAGCAATATTTCACGAAAAAACGCGAAAATTTTCATTTTTTAGTAGGCGAACGAATTGCAAAAAAATTGCAAAATAGTGAGCGAAAATTTTCACATTTTTTGTGGGCGAACGAAATGCAGAAAAATGCGAAATTTTCGCGAAACGATTTTCCTTTTTCGCTAGGGAACCCTTTTATCGAAATGTTTCGTTAATCAAAACTTCATATAAAATTAAGATAAAGTTAAAGACAGTTTTTTGACATTTTTTTAAAAATGTTGAATGCAATAATTTTAAAACAAAAAATCTTATTATTTGCCACGCCCACAAATTCTATTTTTCTCATTTTTGTCTCTCTGCAACCTGACGTTGCACTTTGGTTGACCTGAAGGTTCCAAACTCTCATGCAAAAATCGATGAGAATTTTGCAAATTTAAAACAATTGTGCGTTAAAGTTCTGAAATTTTCATATCTAGGGTCACAAAAAAGGATTTGTACATCAGCTTGGAAGTATATAAGTATAAGAAATTTGAGTTTGTCGCGAGAAATCATGGGTCCTTTGCTTAAATATTAAAGGGTATGTAGACGTACTTTTAATTGAAAAGCTGACAGTAACCAATTCACAAGAGAACCATGGATATCTTACGATACAAAATAATCAATTTTCAATTTCATAGACATTGATATATTTCATATATACTTGATCAGACAAAGTTTTTACGGATACTGTTGTAAATCAGGAATGACCATTTATGCATGGAGGGTTATTTGAAATTACGTTTACAGTCACTTTAATAAACTATAAATTAAGGTATAAGCATGAGGTGAGGATGGATACATATCAAGTTGGTTCCAGATCCATGATAAACCTGGGAACTATGGTAACTCTACTGCTCATAGCTGTGGTGGGATGTTCGTTCCTCTTATTTTTCCAGAGGTACGAATCTAGAAATCAATCATCGTTTCATACAATGAGACCCGTACAGATTTGAAATAGTAAGACGATATTTAAACATCTTGTGTGCAATGGATTTTCTTATAAAGCAAATAGTCTTATGCTGCAGCAGCTTATTAAGTGAAGTAGGTCTGTTTACACTGTACAAATGCTGTGTTTTACTTTCATTGGGATATTTAAAATAAAAGAAACTTGAGTCCAGTTGTCGTCTTTCTATTCCACAGTTTTATGGGTCCCACTGTACCAAACAAGTTGCCTAATCTAACAGGAATTTTTGAAAGTTAACCTTTTTATTTTTTTTTAAAAGTTTTTCTTCTAAGTGAGAGAAATTTTGATCTAAAATGAATCTCAAAGAAATGTCTCCGCAACTACACAGTGGAGTATTTTAGGGGTCATGGGGGTGACTGGTTTTTGTCACAATACTCCTCTTAAAATGCATTTGTCTTTTGTTTCAGGGTAAGAATGGACAAAATGAATATTTTCTGATAATCTTTTCATTTACACAAATTGTATGAATTGTAGTTTGCATTGATTTTTAATGATTTCAATTAACAATTACTTTTCCCGTTCATATATTTATCCTTGAATGGATCCTGTAATCCCACAATATATTTAGATGTCGTCTTTGTTACAGCGAGCTTTTTGGAAGAAAAACATATATTTGATAGCAAAAGTGCACAGAGGTTTCGGGATAATCTAAATATATAAAAAGATTCTTACAGCCATATAGAAAAGACTTAGGGGCTCAAGCAGCATCCCAAATCCTTGGTTTAGTCAAAGAAGCGTGTTAAAAATTCCTATTTTAAGAGTTTTCAAGTAAATAGAGGGTTTTCGGTCGAAATTCTTAACTAAAACACAATATATAAACAGCTTAGGGACTTCTCTCAAAAAAAATTCTTATTTGACATAAATAAGAGGTTTATGGAATAAATTCATTTTGGCTGACCCTCTCCTAATACAATACTGTGCCCCTGAATTTTTTTTGATTTAGCTCATGTTTAGACAGGACCATAGGGAGGTTCCCGCAAACATTCTAGTTGGATGTTTTGTTCTGACTTCTCTGCAATGTTTGATTGCCTCGAGGCGTCATATCAAGAAGTATATCATCCGGAAACTTAATCAAAATACGATCAAAGCGGAAGACTATGTGCTGGGCTTGAAACAGCTGTTTAGTGGTTTGATAAAGAATAAAGTTCATCCTATCCCGGCTAATGTTCAAAACTTTATTCTTGAGGAGATTGAACAGTCTGTTCCAAATCCTGTTCGAGAATCAATGTTCGCTGAAATTCAGCGTGCAGTCTTAGATTATGCTCAGCAGTCAACACTTGCTGATGTACATCAGTCTGGACAAAGGGATGTTCTGCTAGAAGCACCAACCAATGTTCAAGTGTCAGCAACAGATGATGTTCAGCAAATAGCATCAGATGATGTTCAGCAGTTAGCAACAGATGATGTTCAGATAAAAGCACCAACCAATGTTCAGCAGTTAGCAACAGACAATGTTCAACAACTAGCAACAGACGATCATCAGCACATGAAAACGGACGATGTTCAGCAGTTAGCAACACATGATGTTCAGCAGCCTGCACCAACTAGTGTTCAGAACCTATCAATAGACGATGTTCAAAAACTAGCAATTGATGATATTCAGCAGTTAGCAACAGATGATGTTCAGCAGTTAGCAACAGATGATGTTCAGCAGTTAGCAAAATATGATGTTCAGCAGTTAGCAACGCATGATGTTCAGCTGCAAACAAGACCAAATGATCAAGAAATAGCTCTGAACAATGTTCAGCATGTAGCTCAAGTTCATGTACAAAGTAAAAATCCAGTAGGTGTTCAGATTAAAACTTCCAGAATAGTTTTGGTTCAACCATTGGGGTTAGTTGATATATAAAAACTAGCCGAAGTGCACGGCGTTGCCCGTAGTAAAATAAAAAAATCGAACATTGAAAAAGAAAAATATTCAAATTTTGAAAAAAAATGTTTAGAATTTTTTTTTTCAATTTAACCATTCCGAGGTTAAATTATATAACTTATTCTATAATAAGGCAAAAATAAACAGGTTTACAGCTTTCAGGGAATCATAATATGAAACAGACAGTATACATGTACAATCGTCTCTGAATTCTCATCCTTAATGGGCATTGAGCAAACCTGTATGTTCCATGTATCTTTAAATTTTTCACTCGTGCTTCAATATTTGATAGTAAAGGATTAACATTCCTTGTTGTGATTGTTTGTTTAGAGAAACAAAAGATCGTTCAAATTCAAATAAAAAAGTCAGACTCAATTATCAAAAAGTCAAAACGTTTACAAAAGTAGTTAATTGAATTTAAGTGATTAAACGATGTTTTAAAATGCCTAACTGTTGAAAAACAAATATTTTTAAATATTTATAAAAAGTAAAAGCTTCCAGGTATTCCAGGTGCACTAGAGTGCTCTATACTTGGGTGAGCAGAGCTTGAATATTCAATTTATTGTTTAATTAAAAAAACAGATAAACATCTTCATACACAATGTTTCATGGATATTTATATTTATATCTTATTCTCGGACCTCGGAAGTTTTAAACCTTTGTAATTAATTAGTATTGTTAAAAGTAAATACTGTATTTAAAAGTAATTATTGTAATTAAAAGTAATTATTTTAATTAAAAGTAATAAATGTAATTAAATGTAATTTTTGTAATCAAAATTGAATATAGTAGATAAACGTATTTGTAATTTGTAAATATTTTTAATAAAAGTAATTGTAATTGAAAGCTTATTATTGTAACTAAATTAACTATCTAAATTGACTAACTAAATTAACTATACTTTGCCCAATTTTTTTGTGGGACCTGGTGTGACCAAAGGGAAAGTTTATAAATGATCGAATTTTAAAAAATTTGCATTTAACAAAATTCGATTTTTGAAATTTTAAAAATCTACAATTTTATTTAAATCCGCGAAATGTTTTGTTCTTGTTTTTCTTTTATAATGTATACAAATAGAACATGTTCACAATATAAACAGAAAATGGGCGCGAAGCGCCCTAAAATCCTTGTTGTAATAAAAAGGAAAAACTGTAATTTGTACTTATTATTGCAACTGAAGTAATTATTGTGTATGAGTAATTATTGCAACCGTAACTGAATAATGTCAGCAAATTAATTATTTGAATCAAAAGTGATTTTTATTATTTTTAGGAAATATAACAAATTAGAAGCATACAAATCCGCCAAGAAATCATCAAAAATCCGCGAAAATCTGATCAGTTTAATTTTATATCGGACATTTTGATATCTGCAAAGAATTTTGACACTTTGCTTAAAACGGAATTTGGGAAGGGTCTGATCAAAACACTAGAAAACTACTAACAATTCTTCACTCTGGTGCAAAGTAATTCATAATTTTGAAATTTTGCAGATGTGAAAAAAGAAAGAAAAAAGTTTGGCTTTTTGAAATTGGCTTTGTTCATCCAATGTAAAAGAGCAGTTTTATGTTTTTGAAAATTATGAGCACATAAGATTCTAAAATCTCAATCTACATATTTTTTAACAATTTAAGTTCCATAGCATGATTTTACTTTGTTACATGTTTACTAAAAATCATACTGAACCATTAAACTAGATTTTTTCTCCATTAAATTGTGTGTTTTTGTTTTGAAAAAAGATAAAACAATAATTTTATTTAAAATATAATGTTGTAATAAATTAAATTTAATTTTTCAGGATTTTTTTTAGAATTTTCTAATTTTTTCACCAATTTTTTTCATTTTTTAGAGGAGGGAGGTGTGATTCCTTATTGCAAAATATCGTATTATTTATCACGTGCCCCCTCAAAAAAAAATGATAAACTGGATTCTCTTGTTTATATAAGGATTTATGTAAAAATCATTTTTTTGCAAATTGAAAAAAAACCAAAAGCTTTAATCAAATGATTAATAGAGGATACACATTAAGATTACA